CACCCCCCTAGTCAATTGGCACCCGAGTTTATATTTAAAAGAGTCACTATATATGCTTCCATAATGGTTACTACAAAAGGCTTACTATAAGGATTATCGGGGTACTACCAAGGTTACCATGAGGGTACCTAAAACTGAAGGGTTACTATATGTATAAGGGGATGAATACGGGGTTCGGGCTAGGGTTTTTCTAGGGTTCCATAAGGCAAAGGACATTACAAGGTCTACCATAAGGGCTATCATCTAAGGGTTGCTACAAGGGGGTTTGGGGACGGAGGGGATCCTGTAAGGGTTATCGGGCTTTTGGATTGTAGGAGTTACCATAAGCGGCTTAAGGCTTGTATGGGTCTTCTGGGTTTTGGATTTCTTGGGGCTTTTTGGGTCCAGGGGCTCAGGCTGGGCCGACACCGTAAACCCCAACCCAAGCCCGACACGCCGGGAGCCGTAAACAGAACAAAACACTCAAAGCGCCCCATCAGCTCGCCTTCTCCGCCTTCTCTGCCTTTAGCTGCGCGGAGCGCGCCTCCTTGCGAGCTTTGGCAGAAGGCCTTCAGCTGGGCTGAGCATCGGGGGAAGGCCTTAGGCTAGGAGGCAGCGTTTCAAGCTGTGATGTTAAGTGGCATGTTAGCTTGCCTACATATGTCCTCTACTACTCCTTCACACTCTGTACCTGAGTCGCAACGTACGAGCATAGCCATTCCGCGTCATCCCCACACCAGGCTCTCTACCCTGCACCCCCACGAGGTGTTGGTGGTACAAACAATGACAAAGGCGCAGCAACTATCCAGTACTTGTCCAGGGATGATGGCGAAAGAACCGACTTGATATGGACTTTCAAGCCGCTCCGAGGGCAGCACGCCAGTTCAGCGCGTTTCTCAAAGGCGGCCACGAAGAAGCCACCGGTGTCCATTAAGTGCCTGTGGCTGCCCGGGTATTTGACGGCTAAGCGTCATGATTCACAAAACCCCTAAACAATAAATCCTAAACCCTAAACTCTCTATTCGGGCGTTTAGTATTGCCTCAATTAGTAAACCGGGGCGGGGGTGCTTTGGGGATTACGTAAACGACTATAAGGGGTGATGTTGGCAAGTCTTCCATTCGACTTACCAGTGGCCCCATATGAATAAGGGCGCCCCCTTTCCTGCTACTTGAAAACCTTGAATCCTAAGCCCCAAACAAAAAGCGGCAAAAGGGTAGCACTGGGGAGCATAGCCTGTATATTTGTGTGGGTAGGTCTCGAGATTAGAGTCCCTTTTAAGGATCCTTTTCGTAAGGGTGTCGTACTATATTGGGGACCCAAAAAAAGGAACCCTAAGTTAGAGAACTACCCATGTGGAGAGTGCAGGACGAGTCTGGCCGGCATAGGATCTAGGAGTGGCACGGTTCAGGGCTTTAGGGTTTAGGGTTTTAGGTTTGCCGTGGAATAGCGCTTAGGCGATAGTGTGCTGCGACAAGGTTGTGTCGAGTGCATCGTACTATGGCGACGAGCTGCGAAAGCCTGTCTATAGAAGGCTTTTCCTGTTTTCTTTCCCACCCCACGCCGTCTAAGGCGGCCAAGCCACCCAAACCTGGGCAGGGCTCCCCTTTTTGGGGGTGCGCTGCCCAGGCACGGGGTTCGTTTTGGGTGTTGACTTTATTGAATTCGGGGACCAGTACGGGGGTGCTACGGTCCCCATGGCGGTGGAGAGGCGGGCTGGCATACTGGTCGGCATCTCGCAATAGGTTGCGACAGCGCCGCCCAGCCACAGTAGGCGGGCGGCCCATGCCTTGAGTTTGGTGTTTATTGTGATCTCGGTCCAAATCACTCCAAGTTCTTTGTTGTTAGGAAGCTGGGCGGACTGTCTGATGTGAATTTTGTGCACGGGCTTCGGCCTCCGACGGGTGGCTGATACGCTTTTGGACATAGGACTCCGGGGTGTTTTATCGTACACTTATACAGAGACTGTAAGGGTATAAAGCTGCAACGAACGAGGGCTAGAAGTTTCGGCCCGACTGAAGTGAAAACCGTTGCATGAAACTCATTCGGCCGCCACAGCCCTGAAACAGTAGACGCCCAGGTCTCACGAATTGAGACACCTTGAAGAAACGTAGCGGAGAAGCCTTCACCCTCAGAATAAGCTTCTTGAGTATGTTGCAGTCTAGTTCCTACTAGTCTAAGTACAATAAGGAGCCCGAGGGAATAGCATGGTAATTTGTGAGGCCCCTATATTGAACTGTAAGTGAACAAAGTATAGTACTCGCACTTGTTCCGGGTTCTATATATGGTAGCGTTCAGCCAGGCAGCGGAAGCAGACGCCGACAGTTTCCCCGAACAGCCTCCTGCAGGCGAGACGAAAGAGGTTCGCAAGAGCTTCGGGTTTTGGGGTACATGATTCAAGCTTCCAGGTCAGAGAGTGGGGCTTGAGAGCTTGCGAAAGACTTTAAGAGGCTGATCAGAGAAGTACCACGCCAGCTCTTACTGCCATTGCTACAACTACCACTACCACCACCGCCACCACAACAGCAAGATGAGCGAATCTCGCTGCACTAAAACCTAAACCCGAAGTCCTGCTGTCCCCACCATCTAAGCACCCGAACTCTCAAGCCTTGAACCTGACCCTCCAACCTGAAAACGCAAGATACTAAGCTCGATCTTGGCAGCCGTGCCCAGCGTTCGGCGAAGTCGCCAAAGGGAGGGAACCTAGCGTTGAAAGATCGTCCAGGCATTCAATGCGCATCTTTTTGTGTGTATTTGGCTCGTGACCTGTGCAGTTTCTACAGACGTTGGATGGGAACTTCTGGAAGACCCTGCTGCATGGCTTTTATGCGTCCCGAACCCTAAACCGAAACCCTGACCGTTCTAAGCAACATGTCCTTGTGCTTAGGGGGCCTAAGATTCCTTGAGCTGCATCCCCACACAAAACCCCGTCGAATCCTGCCATTTGACAGCCTGAAACGGCAAAAGCCCCAATAGCCTGAACTGAATGTCACGGGAGACGGGAGAAGAGGTGGCAAATGGCTCAGCTCGCCACATCGACGCATGAATTTTCACTTTGCCTGCAAATCGTGGCTGGGTGTACATCACGAGGCTCTCCGAGACCCTTACATTGGGGCCTGGATAACCGGAATAGGGTTTTGGGGTGCACTGAAGTATAGCTAGATCAAGGCTGTGTGGCAGGAACCCTACTGTAAGGAAAATTGTGCGACTTCTTCCGATCCCCATATTAGATCTTCCAGCGTCGAGACCATCATTTAAGCTGTCAGGTCTAAAATTTGGAGACTTGCGCCCAACCTTAAACATTGAATCTTGAATACCTGCCCCCAAAGCCTAATTGTCCGTGCACCCTAAACCCAATACACGTGAATTCCTGAATGCCTCACTTGTAGACTCCGGAAGCCGAACGCCTAGAAAAAGGGCACGGGAAGATCGGAAACGATACTGTAAAACCAAGTCATGGAATGAGGGTCCAGGGTTTCGGGGTGTAGGGTTCTACCCTTATGGAATTAGGTTCGCCTTGAAGCCTTCAAGCATGCACACCAGGTTTCTAACATATCCCAAACCCTACACCCTACATCGTACTTTGTTCGGCTGTCACCCCCCTCTATAGCCTAGATGCTGAAGCGCCTGCTCTCGCTTCTGCCGGGACTGACTGGAAGTCCTTCTTCAAAGCTCGGGGCAAGGGCTTTGGGCTCAGGGTTCGGGCCTGTAGGCTTTAGGGCTTCGAGGTTATAGGGTTCGAAGTTGTGCGCAAAGGCATTAACATGGTGAGACCGAAGGTTCGACTTTAAAGTTGGGGTGCGATGCACTGTACTGAGGTGCGGATGATGCGGGGATGGCACAAAGAAGTTCAGAACGTGGAATGTGTCACCATGCTTGAATTACAGGGAGGCTTCTTCTGGGTTCTAGTTTAAGTGTAATTAAACTTACCATAATAAAGAAACCATATTGTTCATTATAGATCTCTATGGTGGTAACTTAAACTAAATGCCTTAACAAGAACCCAGCCTGGCCCTCCAAGACTTTGCCGTGGTTTCTGGGGCTCAAAAAGGCCGTGTCCTGGTAGAACTCGCCCTCCTTCTCAGGATTGGGAACAACCTGGCAAAGGAGCCAAATGTGTTGGTTCAACCTTCCCGAATTTGGAAACAACAAGAAAAGCAAGAATCGATTCCCAAAGTTTAGGGAATCTCGGAAATTCAAGATCGAAGCCTTGTACCCTGAACGCCCTAAGAGAGGCGGGCACCCATGTGGCAAGACCGCCGGCAGATTTGATCTGCTCACCTCGAAGTTTATCTGGTGCCGGGGAAGGGGGGGGGGGGGGGGGTGCTGATAGATGGTCTGGAGCTTCAATGTTTGGAACGGTTTTTTGGATCTTGGGCAGGATCGCTGGCCAGTTACAATAAGGTCCGGATGCAGAAGGCACGACTTCACATGGGTTTCGCGTGACAAGCTGCCCGACAACAGCTAACGGCAGAAAAAGGCAGAAAAGGGCAGGGAAGCAACCTGGAACCTGAACCCTAAACCCT